ACTGAATAAATAACAGGTAGTAGCTGTGGCAGCAGTTGGTCCAGGGAATATTTAATGTACGTGAGATGGCTTGACCTGCCCACGTGAGAATGGCTGAACTTAAACCACTTTTTATTTTCTTGCCCATTCTTGCAAAGCAGCTTCTGAAACCAACGCGAACAAAAAGGGAAGAACGCAACTGGCAGTAAAGTCGTGAAATTGATCCTTATAACAGGCAACTTGTTACCAGGCTTAGCAAGGAGTCCCAAAGAATGGCCGTGAGAATAAACATCAGCTTTTTTGATGCATTTTATATTGGAACATAGATTCCTGACCGTGAGGTTATTATTTTGAAACACAATTTCTTTACTCTCAATTCAATCAACTGCGGAGTCAAAAACTCCTGTATGGTGATGATATTAAGAATAGATTTTCCAGGTTGTGGGTTGAAATAGTTTAAGGAGTAGTTAAGATAAAAGAGTTTTGTGACAGTTATGGACTGAGATTAACCTTATTAGTTTTATTAGTGTTCCTGAAACCTATTCTTGAGAGATTTAAAAACTTTTTAAACAACTGTTTATCTGAAATGTAAATGAATCATCCAAATGTGGTATTTGTTACCTGAATGTGATTTTAAAGTTATTTCTGAAATACCGTGTTCCATTTAATTCCATCTTAGGAGGTGTATTAGAGCTTAGACTTTTAAAACGAATGGGATTGTGAGTGATGGCTTCCGAAAGAGTAATGTTGGAAGTGGAAATTTCTTTTTCGTGAGGACAGCTACAACCGAGAGCATGGCCTATAGGTTGTGGCCGGTAATGGTGCAAAGGAGAAAGACACAATGCAGTGGGTTTTTATGTTCGTGATGTCTTCTTCCTCTTTGTTGACACCATCAAAACAAATAACTGTTTTCATCCGGATGCCTGTTTCATACAAGCTCAGTCGAATGATCCCTGTCTGTCATGCAGCCTATTGAATGCTCATCTGATGTTAATTGATTTTTCACCCTACCTGTCCAGCTGGAATGGTGATTCGAGTACAGGGAAGATTATCCAGGCTGTGCAGTCTCTCAGCCATCCAAGTTCCCTGACAAAATCATGTGCCACCACGTTCCTTAGTGGCAAAGGGTCATAGGCACAGAAGTTAAAAGGTTGTTGAAAGTCTCATTTCTGTGTCATCATGAATCACAGGTTGGTGTTACTAGGAAAAATCCTAGTGTTATTGCAGGGGAAAAAAAAAACCCAAACATTTTGTAGTAGGCTCCAGTAGTAGTGAACTTTTCTAAAATAATGTATTTTATGGGGAAAAAGAAAAAAAAAAAGCATCCACAGTAAATTTTCATTGAAAGCTTTTTATGCAGCACTTAAACACTCAAGGCTGGGTGCCCTTCCTCCTCTTCAATTACGCAGTTTGGGTAAATTATAAGCAGTTACAGTTTTCTAATTAAACTTACACGCATCATAAGGCAGATGCATTGTATTATGAATAGACTATAAAGAATAAATGTTTTTGTTTAAACAATGGCATTGCATATAAAGCCACAGAGAAAGTTTATGAATAAAAAAATCCCCTTGTATACAAGTGAACAGGATTGTGATCTCACAGGCTGCGAGGTTGTTATTTTTCCGTATTACGGTGGTTGTGGTCCCGCAGCACACGTTTTCTGTGAGAAACATTTCTGTAGAGGTGTGAGTCCTCCCAAAATCTGTCATAGTTGAAAGTGGTGCAACTCCCACTTTAGGATTAAAAAAAAAAAGATAGTTTTATTTTGCTTTTTCCTCAAAAGGAAACTTTTGCTTTTTAATGCCTGTATTTAAAAAAAAAGATTTATTAAGAGTCCAGTTGCAAATTCAAGTGATTTATGCATTTGTTTCTAAGGCGCGATGAATAAAAGAACCAGCTCTGAAGTCTGTGTAGATTCCCTGATACTCACTTTAGAAGGAAATAAGGTAGAGTTAATCAACAGAAATGAACTATATTGAAGGTAAACATGTCCTGTGTTAATAACACTAGTAGTAATCCGCATCTTGATTTTTTTTTTTTTTTTTTTTTACAAGGCTGGGTTTTTTGTCACTCTTACTGTCCTAACAAACCATCTTATCCCATGAGTTGCTTTTCTTACCAAAACAGTAATTTATCAGTACTTGTGACCGCTCAGATACCACTCCGCTTCAGATTTTCCTTGACATGTACAGGAACAGAGTCTGATTCAAGTACTGCACCAACAGCTAGTAAGCGTTAAGTATGGGTAGGAGTAACACGGTGGAAACTGAACCCACAACGTCTCACTGGGCGCTTGCCCAGCTTGGGCACAGGAGTTGATACCAACTGCTTCCCTGTTTCCAGAGTTGAAGACGCTGTATGACAGTAAGTGGGCTACGTAGAACCTGTACCTGGGCATGTACCACCCTCTGTCCATGCTATCACTGTTGCATCTTGCTAAGCTGCTCAAACTCGCATTTTCTCTGGATAGACATATTTTTTTGAGCCTTTTGTATCGGGAACTTGCCAGCTGAATTGGGGTGAAAAGTGTGTTGTAATTTTCTAGGCCAGCTGCAAAAGACCTCTTTGAAGAGGACTTTTGCAGATGGCCAAAGACTATTTTATAGATACTGAGGGAAGAGAGGGGCAATACACAGCTGAATTCCCCTGTGGCTGACTATTTTGATGCCTAATTGTCTTTAAGGTGCCTCAGTCCTAATATGGGCATATTTATTATTTGGAATATGAAGAAAATAAATTAATCTCATGGCTATAAAACTTGGAAATAACAACTAGAATTTGAACTTGTACGCAGCATACCCCTTCTTGGTTTTATTTGACAGCTTAAAAGAAGCAAGTACAAGCTGTTGCATTCAAATAACATTTATCTCAAGAGCAGTAATCAATGCTCGCTTTGTTATGTTGATCATGTTGTATAATACATGGGCCTAAAAGCATCTGAAATCTGTGAGCTGTCTTTGGCATTGTATTTCTCATTTTTCTTTTCTGTCTTTCCAATTTGCTAAGTTTGCTGGAAATTTCATATAAAGACATGAACAATTCATGCATGCAGAACATATTGACTTCTGTTTTTCACTAACATTCATTGACCTTTTAGGTCAATAAATTTTGAAGTTGACTTAAGAAGTCAATAAGCCTTATTTTAATTTAGATTAAGTTTTAGTCTGATTCAGCACTCTGCTTCCCTTTTTATAAATTAAAAAAAGCTTATAACAATTTATTATTAAAATGTATGTCAACTAAGAACTGTTTCCTGTAGGTCTGGGAAGCCCTGTCTGGATTATAATTTTTTGCTGTATTCCCAATGCACCGTTTGAAAGTGACATTCCAGCCTCCCCGTGCGTACTCTGTCCCTCTCAACTGCTCTAACATCAATTGTAGAAAGTGATACAGATAATTAAACAAAACCATGCGAATTTCAGGAGCAAATGTTTTCCATCATGTTGGAATTTCACCTTACATGAGCAAATTTGACTTAAATTACATTTCCATCTGACATTATTAATTCCATCAAGGAAGCTTTGTGTAATATTAATTACAGATACCAATTATGTTATTTCATCTTTCCTTTCCATTGGAGCTTCAATAAAAATTCATCAAGTGAAGGACATGATTATCATAATAATTTTAAAAATCCACCTAAACTCTTTTACCACATACACACAAAAACAGTAATAGCACTGGAATCATGCGCGTGAGAGTGTACTTGTCAAAGTTTTGTGCACAATACATCCGTCAGTAAAAAGGAAGGGAGCATTTTCTCTACTGCATTTTTGGTTTACTGCCATGGGTGCTTTCCTTTGATAAAGTAATTTGGCAGACAGGTTCTTATAGAAATCAGTGCAGTGGTATTAACTTAAAATTTTTGCACTTTTTCAATCTGTTTAGCTCTTTCAAATGACATTGCTACTGGTGAAAAACCACCCTGAAGTCATGTTAAGCAGCCATATTTTGACCTTATGGAATTTTGACCATGCAGTATGGCCAGCTATTGCAACGTCACCTTAACTTCACTTGATATAATTGACAAAAATAGCCCTACTGTTTTTCAGTGGAAGAAAAAAAATGAGCAGAGAAATTATCAAACGGTATTTCAGATTTCAGCAATAAAGTAATTGGAAAAAAAAATGGTTAACTGTGAGGAAATGCGTCACTCTAAGATAGCAGCTGATAGCTGGCAGATTCTAATATTAAGATTGGAGCTTCAACAACCCATAAATCCAGGTATCATCTACCACATTTGGAGTACTAATTTGACAATATAATAAAGGAAAACACTAAATTATAAGGAAAGTGTCTTTGAGGAAAGATCTGTAGTGTATGTAGAGGCAACATTCTGCACTGATTTCAAGTTCTAATGCTTGATTTTAGCATTAGCACTCTGGATCTGGGATGCACAGTGATTAAGGCTGTAGAGACAATCCTCTTCATTTTGAATGAAATCCAGTGTATGTTTGTCTTTGCATTTAACTGGTACAGCTAATTTCTATTCCTGTTCATGTAACCCTAGATTTTTTTTTTTTAGGGATTTGGAAGTAAGGACAGAAAAATGGTGTTGTGCATGTAACAGCGTTGTAAGCATTTCTACCTCCCCATTCATAGCTGCCATGCTGTTGTGATGGAACTGGAAACAACTGAAATCACCAATATATTTGCCAAGTATTATTGTGCATAGGCCATGAAACTGCTGTCATGTCACTTGCCTATTCATGGAAATACCTACATGTAGTTTCAGAGTATCTGCACCTTTGCTTTGACCTGCCCCTCCATTGCTTTGTATTGGCATTGCTTTGTATTGTATTTGTGTGTAGTGTTGGCACATAGTTGTTTTCACCATTGAATAATTTCCTTTTACAACTTCCATTTTGAATGTATATGGTTGGCTAGTTATTCTTTGTTTGATATAGTTCCTTTTCACTTTCTGTTCAAAACTGCATGATAACTAGAGCTAAGAAACAATCTTCAAAGGGAATCCATGTTATTATGAGAAATGTTACAGATTTTCTTCTTTCTTTTAGGCATTGATTTTAAAGTAAAGCCAGTAACGTTTAATGATACAAGAGTGAAACTTCAAATATGGTAAGTTTTAATTTGTATCACAAATGAGAGCTAACTAAATTACATTACAGCATGAAAAATCTCATCTGCTTTTAATTGTCTGTCTTCCTAAAGTGCAATTGTTCTGACTAGGTCATTTTAAAATTTGAATTTGGCCTAGGGGAGCATATTTTTTGCAGCAACTAATGTAAGTTAAAAAGAGGGTTGTCGCTAGGTTGCTTTAACAATAAAACTTGCAGCATACAAGCAATGCAGATCTACGATCCATATTAAGTATATTTAATTGTATAGGAACATTGAGGGAAGTGGCAAAGCAAGAAAATTTTACATTTCATTACCCATCAAATGCATGTTCAGAAGGGTCACCGAGAGAAAGCTAGTAAGATGAATCTTTGGGAACCTACACTCTATTTTCTGTTTTTGAAGTTTTTCTAAAGACTATATAGGGCTACTGAGAGCCATCTCGCCAGGCATACAATACCGAAGTTACCTATATTTACCAGTATTTAACTTCTCAAGGAGTAACTCTGTACATGAATTATCTGACCAGTGCCAGATCTGCAGTTATTCCATCTCAGGTTTTAATACCAAAGTCTTGGAGGCTTGTTTACAGGTTTCTTAAGGCATAATTATGTGTAGGAATCTCTGCATCCCTGTATTTTATGGAGTTTTCCCAAAACCTACCTTCCATCTAAACCAGCTTACTGTCTGTGTCACAGTTTACAGAGGGCTTGTCAGAATATGGGATGTCATCTGACTCCTGCAGTGCTTGTACTCCAGATTTTTTTTATCACCTGAGTTGTACTGATCTTAATGATTATGTATATAAAGAAGCAATGGTGGGCTTGAAGTTACACTCAGACTTCAACCGCTGCTTTAGTCTCCCTAGTAGGGCTGTATTACTCAGAATAAATTTCCAGTGTATTTCTTTCACTGCTGTATCTGGCACCCAGATTTTCTCTCATCCTTATCTTTTCTTGTTCCTTTCATGTTAGGGTACACCATTCAAAATTTGGACAATACTCCTTAAAATAAAGTGATTTTTCTTGGGGGTTCTGCAGTTTGATCATCTTTTGTTTGTTTGTTTGCGTGTGTGTGTGTGATTTCTTACAATTTCTTTCAGGGATACTGCGGGCCAGGAACGATTCCATACACTTAGTACTAGCTATTTTCGTGGCGCACAAGGCTTTGTTCTTGTATATGACATCACAAATCTGGACAGTTTTCAAAGTATAACAAGTTGGATGAAAGACATACATGAGGTAAATATATCTAACAGTGGTTGATCTCTTAATGAAGGCAGTTAATGAGTTACTGCAGTTAATGTTTTAAATGACTGCATGAGATTTATTCTTGTTCTTGAGCGGTATGTTTCTAACCAGTATTTCTTACATTTAACTCAGCACACAGTATGATAGTAGGATTACTGTTATCTGAAACTGGAATGCAGTGTCGATTATCCAAGACAAGCCCATGGTGATGCAGGAATGTTTTCTGAAGTACTTTTAAAACATAGCTTCCAATCTGGTTTTGCGCATGCTGAGTTATGGTGCTTTTGTCACTGGTGCGGCTACGCGCAAGCCAATCTCCATGAGCTTATCCCAGGGTTTTAATTGGCTTCCATGTCAAAATTCCATATCCCAGCCAGTGATTTCCCTTTCATAATTTCATTACTTCAGTGTAGTTACCTCATCCCAAGAATCAAAAGAAACAAATCAAATCAAACATCCTCTTTGTCCTTGCTGGATATTCCCTTTGAGAGGATGGTTTCAAGAGGGAGGAACTGGGGGAGGAAAAGGAGAATCCCTTTTTGGTGGCAGTGAGCTGTTTGGTTAGCTCAGCTGCTTGTGGTACTGCAGCCAGAAACACGTGCTTTCGTGTGACATAGGAAGTGATTCAACAGCACATGGCTGCCAGATGGCGAGTGTGTTCCCACCTCCCTTCCTGAATGTTGGCTCCCACTGTGCTGCTTCTGGAGCTTGTCAGAGCCGTCTGAGGTTCACTCTGACTCTCTAACGTGGTAGAAAACATAACACAGCAAAACCAGTTGGATGGTTTTCTGCTCCATCAGTGAGTTTAAGGGGTTCATAGAAAGGCCTGACAGTTACTGGAGTTGGCGCAAGGTAAACGGGTAGGAGTAGGAAGGCCAGGAGAAGAACATGTGGGAACAATGTGAGGGAGGAACCAGAGAGGGAGGAGTGGCCAAGCCCTTAGACCTGAGATCATTCAGCTGCCTGTAATTCTGTACCCCGAGTCTTTATTGCTAGGTGTCTCTTAATGTGTTCTCTGTTAGGTAGAGGCAGGTCAGTTTTAGAACAGAATAGGTCAGCTGGAAGGGACCTACAACGATCATCTAGTCCAGCTGCCTGACCACTTCAGGGCTGACCAAAAGTTAAAGCATGTTGTTAAAGGCGTTATCCAAATGCCTCTTAAACACTGACAGGCTTGGGGCATTGACCACCTCTCGAGGAAGCCTGTTCCTGTGTTTGACTGCCCTCTCGATAAAGAAATATTTCCTAATGTCCAGTTTAAACCTCCCCTGGTGCAGCTTTGAATGATTCCCACACGTCCTGTCACTGGATGCTGGGGAGAAGAGATCAGCACTGCCCTCTCCACTTCCCCTCCTCAGGAAGCTGTAGAGAGCAATGAGGTCGCCCTAAGCAGTAGCATGGAAGTTTGTAGTTAGCATGCTTATATAAGGTAGTACGCTTGTGTAAGAATCCAAGCAAGATAGTGCTCTTTGTTGATTAAAACCAAGTAAATATTCAGGCAGTTTTTGTAATACTCTGTGGAATATGACATAACGGATGGGAGAGTTCATCTTGGGAAAGCGGGCTCAAAATAAAACCATCAAACGCAACCTTTTCTCTCTTCACAGCTTCAGTATATGGATGAATTAATGAACTTCACATGGTCATATATACATAGGGTATCTTACAGTCTTGGTAAAACATTATATTTACATTACCTCAGTATTAAGAACATTACTATGATGACCTAGTACGTCATTATCCTTGACCTTAGAGCCATCTTAAAAGTCTTAGTGGCAACAGAGCCTAACTTCAGTGATGTGTTGCAAAGGAGATTTGATGATACAATATTCTTACTGGCTTGTCTGCACACAGTTCAAACTAACACACGTGTTTTATTACTTCGTTAAGAAAAGCGTGTGCCCGTCTCCTCATAGACAAACCAACAAAAGTCACAGCTAGATATGCCACTGGTTGTACAGTTTCATGGTTAGCTAAGATTTAACTCAGCACACAGTATGATAGTAAGTTTACTGTTATCTGAAGCTGAAAATGTAGATTATCCATCCATATCCATTTTTATATGTATATCTATATATGCATATATCTATCTGTGTGTATAAATTTATATATAAAATACTGATCTGTCTTCAGACTGCCTCCAAAGGGGTCATTTTGTCCTGTCATCTTTAATTAGATCAACAGGATGGTTGATTCAGTGGGCTACAATGCACAACCATAAAAACAAAGAAAGTATCAGGACCGTATGGCTAGGGTGGAGGGAAGGCTGGGACTGGCTCTTGTAGCCACCATGCAGGCTTAGATCTGCTTAAGTCAGTCAGGAAATCACACCTGCACAAGCCTGCTTTCTGTCCATGACACTTAAAAGTTTTTGTGTAAACTTACTCAAGCTATTACTATTTAGATTGATTAATCTTAACCCTGAAGGTACTTTGTTAGTTTAAAATTTAAAAAATGGAAAAATATTCAATTTAAAACAATTTCTGGGAATGTAAATTGCATGATTGATTGTACCAATCTCAAAACTAGCAATTAGTGAGTGTTGTAATAGAGCTAGATAATAATAAAAAATTTAATTTAGTCCTAGTGGGATATCAATTTCTGAAGTGTCTTGGTGAAAATATATGGGGCCATTCATTGCAAAAGAAGTGTTTTTAAGCAATAACTGTTAAAACACAGGGCATTTCATGAAAATTAATTACTTACTGGAGGTTGGTGACATTCCCTGCATTTGCTTTGTTCTGTGAATGCAAACCAGTATTTAATTCCTCACAAATGCCCAGTATCAAAGTGGCTGTTGCTACAGCACCCTTTAAAATCTGCAAGTGTAGAAAAATGCAAACCAGTTTAATTCCTCACAAATGCCCAGTATCAAAGTGGCTGTTGCTACAGCACCCTTTAAAATCTCCAAGTGTAGAGTATGCAAGTGTAGAAAAATTAAATAAAATTTAAAAAGGGAAACAGGTACAGGTGTCATTAAACACCAGACTAATAGGTAATGTAAAGCTTGCACCTGAACCAATCAAACAGGATTTTTGAGACAATTCAGTTATTACATTACGCTCTCATTTTTAAATTCTTTGTACGTAGAGATTTTAAATAAAGTTTTTTAAAAATCTGTTCAGTGTGCTAAGCCATTTACAAAAGTTGAAAATAACAATCTAAGTCATTTAGCATTCCTAAAAACGCCGTTGATTTTATAAAAACTGGCCAGTCAGTGCTATTACAATCAGATTACCAATAATGTTCTCATTGTATTTCAATTATTATAAGTGTGGAATACAGCAACTTTCCTATTAAAAATTAATTATTGTTCAAGGAAGTCCAAGACACAAGTATGCTGCCATATCTGTATTGTTGTAAAATTTGTATTCAGAACTAGGGGAAACTAAGTAACATGACTGTACTTAAAAAGCTTACTAGAAAAATACACTCACAGATTAATATCTTAGGACATGATTGGCAAATCCCATACAGGTATATTGGATTTGTAATGCACTCATTAGGAGCATGATAATTGCAGGGAAATTACTTTAGAACCTGAAACCATTCTTTATTTGTAGGATTGCTGGTCATGTCCAATTTATTAAGTTGTTCCTCTTGTCTGCTGACATGGCTTTTAGCTGTTGTATGCAGCTGGTCTGAAAGGCTGATTCTGTTTGGCCTTTAAAAATCAAATGCAAGTAACCGTGTACCAAATCCATTTGCAGAAAACAGTTCTTTCCAGGATGTTTTGAACAAGATTCCAGCTAAGATATTGGCAAAAAGTTCCTCACAATAGAGTGGTCAAATGCTCAAACAGGTGCCCAGAGAGGATCTGGAGATAGTTAAAACTCGATTCAACAGGGCCTTGAGCAACCTGACCTGACTTTGAAGTTGGCCCGTCTTCGAGCAGGGGGTTAGACCAGATGACTTCCAGAAGTCCTTGCCAACCTAAATCACTCCATGATTCACACATGACATCTGAGTCTCCAAAAACTTTTGAGTTAGATGGTAGGTTCTAGTTTTCTTTTAAATACATTGGACTGGGTTTCATTGTGCTGGTCTCCTGGTGTGGCCGTGAAGGTGGCGTTACCAGTTCCTAACAATTATCTCCATGCTGGAAATTCTCTGCTAGCACAGAATTTTCTGCATGGGGAAGGTAAACTCATTTTCTCATGCAGTAGCAAGTCTTGGTGACATACTTTAGTGTTCTTGGAATATATTAGCTTTCTATTTGTACTACCTGAAGAAGTGACCCCTCAACCAGGCTATGAAATGTATGGGTGTGTTGGGTTACTGCCATTTTTCCATAGTGCCCTTTTATGGTTCTGTTCATTTGATGCATCTGAGAGTTGGGATACTGGACTGTCTTTCAGTGTTTCTGCATCATACTTAAATAAAAGCAGCACAGCAAACTGCTTTACAAATGTGAATTAGTTAGACTTCAGACTCTTCTGAGTTTTTCTTCCTCAGATTGGAAAGCTTGATGTCAAAAGGATGAAATTGTTCCAGTTCATAGATGGGTTTGTTGTTATGGCTCTGATTAGAACTGAAAATTCTTGTTCTTGTCACTTTACTAAATTGGTTTATCTCTAATCCCAGATTGGTTTCAGGATAAATTGGTTTATATCTAGTGGTGTCTAAGTTGGCTAATACACAAACAAATTCTATCATTTGTTTATTTCCACTGAAGTCCTGGAAACTGGGCATTTGTAACTGAGGTCATAAGGTGACACTTAGAAAAATACATGGAAAAAGACATGTATGGGAATCATAATATGAACACTGCCTATGTGATGCTGTCAAAGAGACTGTGAGGACAATGTATTCCTAACAAATTACTCTTCATTAATACAAAGGGTAAGTTTCTGGTGTCATTGTCTAGCGAGTAGGAAGAAGAAACTTCCCAGCTTTATGGCCTTCCCCAGCTCTGCCTTCATCTTGCTGCGTGACCATGTGTATCCTCTTCGGATCTGAAAAATTATATTAATGCTACATTTCTTCCTCAAATACAAACTAATTAAGTATTACCATAGTGTATTTATCAGGTATGGGTTCTCAATTTCACTGTTTGGACCTACAAACAAACTTCTGTTCCCTTTTCAAACTGTAATCAGTGAGTATCAAAATCATGCAGCCCTGCACAGCTATGCCCTGGAAATGCGGTGGAGGGACAAGGTGGTGATTCTGTAAGATCTGTCACTGGATAGATAGCTTTATACAACAAGGAGTCTGGATGAGCTGGTTGGTAATCACGGTCAGTTTGCTGCAGGGGAGGTTGAGGCCAGCCATTCACAGTACGGTCTGCGCTCACCATTTAAAAAGTGAAGGGATAGTTTATTCCAATAAACTGTAAGTACAAATGTGACGTAGTTCTCTTTCAATGAAGGTGTCTGCGCTACTTTTGATACTCATGTGAATTCACAGCACTTCTGTGAAATAGTTTCCCTGCAAAATGAGAACAACTGCAGAAAAAAAGACCTAACATTTGGAAGAAAAACCCCAAATTACATACAAAAGGGATGAGCAACATATTTTCCCTTTTGCATTTTTGATTTCTGTTAATAGCCACATAGTCAATCAGTGAGTTGGGTATTTACCTGGTTGGGCGCACAGGCTAGGTGAAAGTTGAGCAGTACGGTAATTAGTGAAGGACATGGATAGATGGCTCCTATCAGAGTAGGCTGCTAAAGCGCACCATGGTACTCTGGTTCGAGAGTCCAGTGTTCCTAGTCCAGTCTGTGGCACCGCTGCCTTTGAGGCTCTGGCGCTGCTCCCTCCTGTGGCCACCGATCACAGCAGCCTGGCTCCCACCACCACCAGATCCAGCTGCCGGGGAATCCAGCAAGGAAAAAACCTGTTTGCCATAAACCTGATCACTCCAAGCTCTGCCAAACACTTCAAAAAACTTGGTCAGTCTCAATAAATCTCTTGGCTCCAATTTTTTGAGAGAAATATAGTGCTGATATCTCCTTTTTGGACATTTAAAAAAAAAAAAGGCTAGGTTTTCTCCAAGTTCAGATTATTTTTATTTTAAATTCCAGTAAAATGTGAACTTTGAAATGTTACAACTAGAAGAAAAACTGAAGAGAGTGAACCAAAAATCTGGATGTATTTTTGAGATACCAAAGCAAAACACTTTCTTTTTTACTTCTCAAAAAAAAATTTTCTTTTTGCCTCGATGAAATTGAGGAAACTTTTAATAGTATTTTTCCATGACATGGGGAAAAAAAAGTTTCCTGATGCTATTAGCTTAGTCAGTGCTGACTTGCATAATAGCATCTCAACAACTGTAAAATAACCATCCTCTTTTTAGCTATAGATTTTGCATTTGGAAAGCTTATTCCTGAGCTATAAATAAAAGAGGATGAAAATAAACAGTGAGCTTTTGGAAGCATTGAAGAGCCATATTTTTGGCCAATTCAAATCAGTGTACCTCTGCAGTTTTTATGCCAACTGAGCACATGGTCAAACTTCTGCCTAGTCATATTGACTTAATTTTTTAAGACTTCATCTACATAATCAGTTTTCAGAATTTAACATGGATGCCATTTTGGTGTTTTTAGTTTTCTAAAAGCAAGAAACGGCAAGATACCATCTTTAAAAAATGAATACTTTCAGTCCTTTGGTGGAGGATCCAGTCAAAGTGAAAATACATTATTACATTATATTGATGTAAAAATAATAGTTATTTGCTGAAATAAATACTTAGTTATTGGTAATAATGATAAATACTTACTGAAAGGCCTGGTATCTCTAACCTCCTTTACCTCTAACCCTTTAAATTTTGTTATTATTTGAAGCTGTTTAGAAAGAACATTCCTACTGCAAATATTTGTGCTGTTTGTACAGAAATAAAGGTACAGGATGAATTTCATGGTTTTGTACATACAGTATGCAAGTATTTCCCTTTGACCTTTTACTTCAGGGTAAAGTCAAATGTCACTTGTAAAACCTTCAGCTACGTACAGGCTTCTTCCAAATAAAAAGTTGATTGTGTGATGAGATTAAATTGTCTATTTACCCTATTTTAGGGACTGATGTATGTGATTTTATGTAGGAGAGCCATTGACCTTAATGAGTAAAGCTCCAATGCATTCTGAAACAGCCAACATTTTGGTCTATTAATCCAGGTTAGATTGATTCATTATTTTAGGCCTGTACTTTGTACTCTTATGTTGAACTTACTTCATTTTAATACTACATTATCTTGAACATCAGCTGTGGATATGAAATGAGATTAGCCGACTCGAAAATGAGAGTGGATTAAAAAAAATGAAATAGTGTTCCTTCATAATAAATTGTGCCTACTGCTGTACTTCAAATGAGGCAACTTAGTTGTAAAAGTGCAAATAGACTAAAAATAATGATTCTCTCATCCTTTAATGGAGGTTTTTCTTTGCATTCTCTGAAGGGAGGTATGTGTGTGTGTGTGTGAGCTCTGGGGAAGAGGATTGTGCCTGATTTTGTCTTGCGGCAAAGTTACAAAAGTTAAGACTTTGACAGAGATCAGAGATTTCATCAACGTCCTTGTAGAGAGATCTGCCGCCTGAGACCAGGCTTTTTGAGTCACCAGAGAAGCTGCGTGAGCATATACTTTCAGAATATAAGCCATGGGATCAGACCACGTTAGCTTTAATTGTCTCTAGATCGAGACCCTCAGCTTCCTCCATTTAAGCACCAAAAGTGGTTTTAAATACTATGATTTTCACAACAAATGTCAGTTTTCAAATTCCACATGCTGTTGCAGAACTGTTCCCTTTCCTTGTCACTATTCCAGTCATGTATAGTTACAATGGCTTATCTTAAAATAACACTGATGTAAAGCACTCAGTGCATTTCACAGTCATCATGTATGTAACTGGATTAGTGGAACGAAGGATGGAGACAAGGTCAAAAAGCTAGATTTTTCTTCCTTTTGAAATCAATGAGGTTTTTAAATTTTACTTCATTAAAAATCTATTGCCTTCTTCCGAGTGTCTTGGAATAATCAAACTTTTATGTTGAGTTTGAACATTTTGAATGTAATTTTACTGTCTGTGTGCAAAAGTGAAGCACAGAGAGGTGCTCTTTCAGGTGCAGCAAATTCCTTCCTTTTTACTTGTGAGTGCTGGATGTACACCAGACTCATATGCTAATCCATGAACCCATTACTTTAGGGAGGGTAGTGTCTGTGAATTCAGGGCACTTCCAGTCACTTTAAAGCCTCAAGATGGAGCATTCATCAGAAGATGGTGGCCATGCACCATACCTTATGAAAGCGGTTGGAAATTATGCCCTGCACTTGTAAGTGGCTTTTTTCTGCTCTTTGCAATCTTGATGTTTTCCTCCAAATCCCAGTAACTGATGGAAAATATTTCCACATATGAAAAGGTCAGGACAGAATTCAGCCTTTACTTTCAAGGAAATAAAGTGTTGAAGGTTAGTGTGAGCTGAAGGTGAAGGGCTTTTGTTGTTTGCTTTTTTCTGACTTGACACTTATTAATGTTGGTTCTTTTTTAGAAAGCAGGTGATGAAGTGGACGTAATACTGTTGGGCAACAAGTGTGATAAGGAGTCAGAACGTGTAGTTCCAAAACAGAAAGGAGAAAAGGTATCACTGGTACTTTCTTTGGGTTCTCCTGAGGATCTTAGTATGTGACTGTGAGCTGTTACACTGAAAATGATAAAAAGCTCCTGAATTCCAAAAATTAAATTAGGAATTGCTCCAGAAGAACAGTTGTGGAGTTCTGGAGTGTTGGGGTTTTTTAACATATGAGCAGAAATACATTAAGTAACTCCTAACTGATCTCTTTAGAATACTGATTTTTATTTTAAAGGTTAAAATGTACTTTGAAAGTTTTAGGTGTTGCGATAGAAATCTTATATTTTGAATTAAAACTAAAAATATTTTAGAGCCTGCATTTTCAGACTACTGTTTTAATGTGGAATACTAAAATGTAATGCATAATACATTCTGCATATTTTTTCTGGTGCCACCCATCAATGATTTTTTTGCTACAGCCTGACTATAAAGAACTGTTCTGGCAGCCTGTGCACAGTGATCTGCATTGTCTATGAATAGCCCTAAATAATACTGGACAGATACATTTAGGGAACATCCAGCTCCCCTAGATCCAACTATATGTGTCGTACAGCTGAGACTATGGTATAGTTTATACCTGCTGACCATGAGTAGGGGAAGAACTGGTGTTAAGTGGGGAGTGCTGTTTTAAAGGCGATGGCAAATTACTCTCACTGAGAACCAATGAGGAAATCCAGGAGCCATGCTATGGCAGAAGAAATTGTGATAATGACTAAATGTCGCGGGAGAGTGTGTCCTATATACCGGTAAATTTTGCAACTGCAACTGTATGCATCTGTTGTCTGGAACTGTTGTCTGAGCCCTTCTATTACGCTTTCAGGCATGGTAAGTCACACAGGATGTCTTGTGTTTAAAGAAAAGAACACTGATAGTTTCTTGCCAATTATATAATCCCAGATTAGGGAACTTTAAAAAATAGCATCACCTTTTCAACAGCATTACAAATAGGAACTTTTGAAAGTTCATTGTTTGTATGCAAGACACTTTCAATGTTCATGTACTGTGTACAAGGAATAAGGTTGCTGAAAAAGAGATGTATACTCTCACTCAAAGAATGCACTTTCAGAAATCTAAAGAGTCACTGGATGCATGTGCACAAGAGGGCAGTAGTAGGGTTTTGCATATGGTATTAACCGTGACATTTTCTGACTTCTGTGTACTTAACCATGCGATCAAAATTTCTCTTAATGTAGTATTTTTTTCAGAAACAAATCATTACCTCCTCACCAGTGAGTCTGCTTTCTAGATTTCTACTGTGTTTTGAGGCAAGGCAACTCTTCAGTTACACTATTTCTTCTTTTAATGTGATTTACAAACGCTAAAGAATCTGACTGAACCAGCTGCGAGAGCACAGAGCGAGCTAATAATTGTCCTCTCACTCCAAAAAAGAAAATATCCTTATTAAGAGGGGAAAATAGTTTGATACGAACTCTGCCACATAATAATTCATACTTGCATATTTCATACTACCCTGTGAGAATGAGCTGTAAGTATTGTTCTGTTCAGAGTCTTGCAGAGAAGACCCCTACATTTTCTGGGAATCTTATCATTTATGCTGGCATTTCTATAACAATCTGTCATAACTGAGTGGCCATCGTGTGCCCCTTTATAGACTAATTTAATGCTGAGAAATTTTTTGTGTTATTTTGTAATGATATAATTTTGATCACTCACAAATGGGTATCTTTAATTTTAACACTATGAAGTATTTTCTTGTATTAATAGTTTTTTATTCACTTTGAGAAAAGTTTGAACTCAACCTTCTTGGGCTCCTCTGTCCCCCATCCTCCCCCCCAGTAACATTATCTTTTTCTCTGAAAAATAAATTAAAATTTTGAAGGTATATGACTTGGTAGAATGTGGCTGGGGTTTTTTTTAAACACTCTTACAGAAAAAGACATTTGCTTTTGCTGTCTTTTGCTGTCTTCATGTGCCGCCTGACTTCGCTGATTTTACAGGTACAATACAAATGAAAAAATGCACATTTCAGACACATCTCTCTGATTCAACACTAAGAAATCCTAGCAGCTAGCAGCTAGGAAGTAGTATATTTTGAGTTAAAAGAAATGAACAATTGGAATTAAATTTCACCTTGAAAGAGATATTGGCAAACAGAAAGAGACAAGTAAAATATTACTCCTTTTTTTGCTTTTGCTGTCTTTTGCTGTCTTCATGTGCCTGACTTCAAAGCTGATTTTACAGGTACAATACAAATGAAAAAAAGCATTCTGCACATTTCAGACACATCTCTCTGATTCAACACTAAGAAATCCTAGCAGCACTTTGCTAGGAAGTAGTATATTTTGAGTTAAAAGAAATGAACAATTGGAATTAAATTTCACCTTGAAAGAGATATTGGCATTACTTATTTTGTTATTGTAAGTAAGATATGAGCTTATTTCACTCAGGATCTCCAAACTGTTCTCAAGGATAATATAAAATAACATTTCCCAGTCACATAATTCCCATAGGCTTGTAAATGTATTTAGGCATTTTATTTATGGATCTATTCAAGATGCTTCCAAAGGCAAAAAAAAGTAATTCTTTGAATGTGCCTTTCCAGTTTCTTTATGAGAGGGAGTAGCCAAAGCTGTGTTCATACTGCCAGTTGCTTTAACACTGGACTGTTGGGTTCTTTTCCATCTAGCTACATTTTTAGAGGACATGCTTGCCACAATACTTATCAGTATGCACGGTGAATTGGAATAATACATGCATTAATGCTCTTTGACAAATATTGTGCACATACAGAGAAAATGGGGGTGCATTGATAGGTGTAGTAGGCAATGTAGTAACATGATACAGAGAAGGCTGAAATACTCAAGGTTTTTTAATTTTATTTTATTTTATTTTTCTTTTGCATTGGTCTTCACAGATGGAGCTTGCTCCCAAACCTCTGCATGTACTGGCATGGTTTGGGAAGGAGCAGGTCAGCCAGCAGTGGGAAAGCATTGGATTAGAAACTGCTTAGGAAAGTTGGATGCATCCATCGACACGATGAAGTTCACCCAATTGTGCTGAAAGAGGTGGTCAGTGTGATTGGGGCCACTATCAGTCAACTCTGAAAAATCATGGTGGTTGGGAGACATCCCTGTTGACTAGAAAGATGCCAGCATGACACCTGTCTTTAACAAAGGCAAGGAAGAGGGTCCAGGGAACTGTAGTCAGTCAGCCTTGCTTCAGTCAGTGGAAGCATTGTGGAGCATGTTGTCATCAAATCCTTTTCCAAGGACATAAAGGACATAAAGATAATCTGGAATAGTCAACAGAGGGCAAATTGTGCTTTACCACTCTGGTTGCCTTATATGATGCCAGGAAATGGCAAGGGAATAGCAGTGGTTTTGATGTATCTTGAATTTAATAAGGCTTTTGTCACTCTCTCCCATGGCATCCTCACTTGGAAGCTAGGAAATGTGGGCTGGACAAGTAGACCATTGGTGGACTGAAAATTGGCTGGACTACCAGAGGCAAAGGGTAGCGATTGAAGGCTGTGTGTCTGGTTGTTAGCTAGTACTGAGCAGAGTACATTGGGGTGTGTAGTGGGGCTCACATTGTTCAACATCTTAATCAGTGATCTGGCTGATGGTACAAGGAGATTTGCATGTGACATGAGGTTAAGGGGTGTGACTGGCACACCAAATGGAAGAACACCAATTCAGTGGAACCTTCATAAACTTGAGGACTGGGCCAACAGAAGCATCATGAAATTCAGTAAGAAGTGCAAAGATTTACACCTGGGATGGAATAATCCCAGGCATGAGTCACTGCACTGCACTGCAAAAGACTGGCGGGTTACAATGAACACCAGCTCCTGCACTGCACTGCACTGCAGAAGACTGGCGGGTTACAATGAACACCAGCTTGAATATAAGTCAACAGTGTTCTCTCATTGCTTAATAGCATGCTGGGCTACATTAGGATAATGGCTGGTAGAACGGGCGAGGATACTACCCCCCCTACTTAGTGCTGGCAAGACCACATGGAATATTGTGTCCAGCTTTGGCTCTCCCTTTTCAAGAAGGGTGTTGAGAAACTGCAGAGGGTCCAGCAGACAGTTACAAAGTGCTTAATAGCATGCTGGGCTACATTGGAAGGATAATGGCTGGTAGACCTGGAGAGATTACTACCCCCCCTACTTAGTGCTGGCAAGACCACATGGAATATTGTGTCCAGCTTTGGCTCTCCCTTTTCAAGAAGGGTGTTGAGAAACTGCAGAGGGTCCAGCAGACAGTTACAAAGATGATTGGGGTCTAGTACCAGTAATCCATGAGGAGAACTGAGGGAGCTGGGTAAAGAGGAGGCTAAGGAGCCGTTATTGGTCTACAGCAATTGAAGTGTAGAGGAATGACAGAAATAGACTCTTCTCAGTGGAGACAGACAATAAAGCAAAGGGCAGCAGACACAAATCCTGGCTTGGGACATTCAGGTTGGAGATAAGGAGAACCGGTTGCACTAGAAGGGTGATGTAGCCATGGAAGAGGGTCCCATAAAGGTTATAGAATCTCCTTCGTTGGCGGATTTCAAGACTCAGGTAGGCAAAGCTGTGGCTGACCCCATATCATATGGGCAGTAGTCCCATTTCAAGTGGGGTTATCTTTCCAAATGATTTCTGTGATTCCATGATTAAAATGGTTTGTGTTCATCGGAGTTTGTATATAGGTAGCCTCTAGGAATCTGTTACGTGACACAAGAAAGAAAAAACTAATATTTAATAGTAGATTGTGTGTACTTTATAAGCTGCAAACCAGTTGACTTCACTTTATTAGCCCAGTATTTTTTATTGCCTGTCTTTTTCTTTATGAACCATTATGCATCATTGTTTTGCATTGACACTTGCCAATAGTCAAATGATCCTAACTTCCCATAACAAATTGCTGCAGTACTGAAGACAGTTCACAGCAGTCAGCTGGAATTTTAGGATCCCTTATGAAGCAGTCTGTCTTAAGAAACAGCCCAGATCTCATCTTTATTTTCAAAATTACATTTTCTTACAGCATTTTGGAAAAGAAACCATTTTGCTTACTTTTTTCCTACCTTTAATATAATCTTTATTATATTTTGACTAAAACTTTGAAGTCCAATTCTTGTACCTTCATGCCTGATTTTGGAATTTTTGTAAAGCATTGATTTGTTACTTCTAGAGCTCATTGAAAGCAAACATAACTGCCAACATTAGACTTTTTATCCTAATGGAGAGCCTTCCAAATAAATCATTAAGTGGTCAGTAATTATAGGATTTTCTATACATTATAAGCAGTAGGGTATTTTCTTTGCCTGGAATCGTCTTCTCCAGATGTGTACCAAGAAGGGATCCATTGCAGAGGGAATAAATAGACTCTCTCACTCTGTTTTTCTGGCAGATGCTATTCCTACCTTGGCCCCCTCCCTTGGCAGGCAACTGTTTTTCTCCATGTATTTAACTGTATAAATTAGAAAAAGTTTAGACCTTAAAAAGCTATGAATTTTGTTGTGGTTTTTTTTTCCTCATGCCAACATACCTCTAAGCTATCTGTAAGGGAAATACACTGGAAATGAGAGAACATGAGTAAATTAAATAAAATCAACCAATGTAAAGTCTATGCCGCCCTTTTCTTCTAAGTATTGTCTCTCTTCTTGTATTACCATAATATATTTTCACATACATATGTGTTCTTTGCTTGCCTATTATCTTTGTGCTTCTCTCTCTCTGGTAAAAAGGAGCATCTCTTTTTTTATATTTCATCATGCCTCTTTTTCTACAGTTTTTGTCACATTTTTATCTATACCTTTCTGCAGGCACTCCATTAGTTTCCTTTAAATAATTGCCTAGGAGACAGTTCATTCTCCAAATAAATCAAAACACTGATAGGAGACAGTTCATTTTCCAAATAAATCAAAACACTGAGAACAAAATCAGTAGAATTTATTCTTCTTATTTACAAGTAAATATAGGTTAAAAAATCTGTTTTGAAATGCAAAAATTTAAGATGACTGTTTTAAGAGTTACCTGAAATTTATAAACTGAGGATGAATATAGAGTACTTTACTGAGCTGACATTTACTTAATCAGTGTTTATATAGCATGTTAGATGCTGTCGGAACACCTCTATATCTCTTGCTATTAGTATTAAGAAGTGGTTTTTTCCTAAAGACTGTTCATCCCATTGCCTACATTTGTTTTTCAGCTTGCTTGGGAACATGGAATACCCTTTTTTGAAACCAGTGCTAAAGATAATGTGAACATTGAGTATGCATTCTCAGTCTTGACTAAGGAAATACTGGAAAAGGTAGGCTCCTTTTTTGAGTAGAAAGAAAATGGGAGATTCCTCTTGACAGATTGGGTAAACAAGGTTGTAAATAAAGAAGAGGTTTAGCAAAGCATTTGCATTATGGTGTTAATGTTTTGGGGGGATCCTGTAGCTGTAGACATATAGAGGAGGAACATGGGGGAGAAGAATTGTGGAAGAAGAGAACAACAAAAGAAGGGAGCAGGTAAAATACAGTTCAGAGAGAAGGTTAAAATTCAGGAAAACTGCATTTGTGGCTTTCCTTCCCGTGCTTTTCTTCAAGGGAGAGGTTAACAGCTCTAGAGTAGTTCCACTTCTGTGCCAGGAAGATTCCTTTTCCCTGTAGGTTTCTGCAGAATATGCACACTGTGAAGATGCTGCATGCTGATGGAGTGAGCGGACCTTTTATGTTCAGCAATCAAATGTTTTATCCAAAGTTCATAGCTGTTTGTTTGGATGATTTACGCTAGTGCTTTTGAAGTTATTAGGACCTAAAGATTTGAGTTAATTAGTGATGGAATCAATATTGTCGCTGTCAGAGTCAGCATCTCTAACTACCTTGAGTGTGTTGGCTTAAAGGTCCTTAATCCTCAGAGTTGCAATACTTTTGTAGGACTGAATTATTGTTAATTAGCTCTGAAAATGTTTTGCATCGCAATTTATTTTTAGACAGTAGAATATTATTTTAGACATTAATGGATGTTCTTCATGCAATGCATTATCATTGCCATTCATCACCAATATTAGTTATACAAAACTAACCTTCTATTCCGAATACTCTTGAAGTCATAATAAAGATAAATGAGCAAAATTACTGACAAAGTCACAAGTTGCAGTCTTTTGATTAAGTAGCCATAGGGGATGGTCAGAATAATAGCTCAGGGTTGGACTGCTTCTAAATCAAGGTCCTGTCATATTATACAATAACACAAGCTGTAGTTGGTTATTTTGGGGGAGAAAAAAGAAGAAAAAAAGCTTTTGATTTCTTTAGCATGAAAATGAAGCTCAGCAACTCAACAGTCAAATACCATTTAGAATAGGAGGATAATGGCAGGTCCTTGAATAGTTGGCAAAAAGTCTCAAGTAAGATAACTCTGATTTTCTTGTAAATGAAAAAGGCATTGTCTACTGTAAATAGAGAATATATTTGTTAGTATGAAGCATGAAAACTACAAAACAGTAGCTATGATCATAACTGCTGCAAAGACAAATATGTGTGAAGCGAGCATTTCTGCACAGTGCGTTTGGGTAAGATCCGAGAGAATTCTCTGCAGCGTGCAGAAATGATGTTTGGGTATTTCTCACATTAAGATTGCCTGTGCTTATTTTTATTTTAAGTGGAACTTCAGTATTCCTACTCATCTTCATGAAAATTCATGGGTTTTGTAGTGTGGACACGCAAACAAATTCAGACCACGTTGCAAATGTTATACCGCTGCATGGCTTTAATTAGAACTGCTTGAGAATACAGTTGTACACTCTGTGTGCATGTATGTGTGTTTGAAAAATATGTTTGTAAGAATTTGTCAAGTTTGTCTGTAGTAACATTTCACCTTATCTAAAAATGTTTGCAATCCCTGATGGGGCATCATGTACCATTACTTTGGTGTATAATTTGCCATTTTTAGTGCAATGCATTTGTTGATTTAAACAAGGACTCCTTTAGCCCAATTGGTTTTGCCACTGGCCTGATAAGAAAGAGTTCACAGTAAACCGTAAGAATTTGTCAAGTTTGTCTGTAGTAACATTTCACCTTATCTAAAAATGTTTGCAATCCCTGATGGGGCATCATGTACCATTACTTTGGTGTATAATTTGCCATTTTTAGTGCAATGCATTTGTTGATTTAAACAAGGACTCCTTTAGCCCAATTGGTTTTGCCACTGGCCTGATAAGAAAGAGTTCACAGTAAAAAAAATAAATCTACCATACAGTTTCATCATGGTTTTCAGGTTCGACAAAATAATTTGCTTGCTCACAAAACTGTGAAATCTGAATGTAGTACTTGAATTTTAACTTCTTCTAACTGATGAAATTTTGGAGAAGGGAAAATGCAGTAGGAAGCGTGACTAGTAGCTGTGAAAAATGACTTGATAGATGCCAGTCTGAGATCACTTCAGTTGTACATCCATTCTGTAGTGGTAAAACATGTACTTGCTGATTGTAAAAAGGAGATACAGCTTTGCACAGTGTTTTGGACCAAGACACCTATGTCTGAGGTAACGGGACGGCAGGCCTCCCTTTCTTCTGCAATAGGACCACCTGTCCCAGACTGATGAGATGCTTCTGTGGAAGCATGTCATTGCTTTACCAGCCCCACAGAGGAAACTAATTTTAAGGAACTCCCTAGAAAAGTCTGTTACGGCCATGCTTTTGGGAAGTAGGTGGAGGTCATTCAGAAGTAAGATAGATAGGCAGGGCAGGCTGGCAGGCAGTAGGCCGTTTTCAGATGCATTGCAGCAGGCTGTATTAATCTGAGGACATCTAGGATTTTTTATATACACACTTGTTCACCATCTACGGGCATTTCTTTATTAACTAAATCTAAAGAAAACACTCCTGTAGATGGGGACGATCAACGTCCGGAGTTATAGAGCTCACACAGAAGTAATGAGCTTCTTGATTCCCTTGAAATTTATAACAAGTTGTGGTTCAGTGGAGGGTTGGGAAAAAAACACATTAAAATGTGTCAGACATAAAAAAAAAAAAAAGGCAAGTTTGTATTGTCATTATTTTGTGCTGCATTTTCCTGTCTCTTCTTCTGTGGTTTTACTTGTGGTGGTCTTAAGGGAGAGAGAAGACTTCCGTATCCCAGCGATTCAGATAACTAAAGTGCTGCTTGACCTTTCAGATATTTATCATCTCAGCCATTCTATGCTGGGTCTTAATCCTATCGCTCTAATTTACATGGGTAGTAGTCTCATTAAAACAATCAGATGTTATTTGACAGCTTACATTGGTAACAGCTAAGGAGTCTTGCCATATTTTTGAGAACTCACGATTTTCAAACCAATCAGTTAATAATAACTGATTTGATTGTATTAGAAAGGCTGCAGTGGAAACGAATGTTAATGACACAGCTTATTTCAGAGGTTTGCTTAGACACGTTGACAAATAACAACGGTATTTTATTTATTCACAATTCTTAAGAGTCTCGGATATGCCTAAACCTGTTCATTAATGGATGGCAGCTGTTCCTTAACAGTGCTTCTGGTTGCCAGTGAACTATTTGTACTTGTGAGTCAGTCCTCAAAAAACAACCAAAACCAAAAAAATACCACCCAGAATGCAGTTAGTATTTGCACTTTTGTGTTGTTTGGTTTCATGGCTGACGAGCAGTGCTCTTCTTAACTAGCTTTTTAAAAAAATATTACAAGCCTTTGCATTTCTGTCTTTGTGGGTGTGGTGGTTAGTATTTTTCTAAACTAGGAGCAGAAGGAGGGAAACTGTGTTCAACAAAAAGAAAAAAAAAATGAAGTTTTTGCCCTTTTCTGAAGACTGCTATAAAACTAACCAAAACTTAGGTTCTGCCTACCTCCCAAGAGTGATTGACTACTAAGATTGTTTTAATATAATATTAAATAAACATATATCTGCTGAGCAGAGAACAGTCAAAATCCATTTAAGAACTTTCCCTGTGCTGTTGAGAGTAACATTTAATGTTTAACAGCTGGATGTCATTTGAGATAAACTTTCAGAAGTAGCAGGCGTCAATTCTGTCCTTCCTTGATCTCTTTACCTTCCTCTCCTATGGCAACAAGATTTTTGAGATTACACTGTGTGTCCAATTCCTTTGCTCCTAACGTACCTTTGGAACTTGCTAGCTGATTTTAAACAAATTTGACAGGTCAAACTAAAAGATAATTAAGCTCCCAAGGAGTTCCTTGAAAATAAGGTGTTGGGCGGAGGAGAGGCCGAGTACTCTGCAGAAGGAAAGTCTCCAGCGTTAGTTCACACAGTATTAGACAGAGATGACTACACAGAGAGACTGAAAAATGCTTCGACCAGCCACTCCAGCTGGAGCTTGCATCGCGGATATCCAATTTAATTCACTGCAAGACCCAAATCCATAGGAAATCAGATTTCATTATTGCCAAGGTTCATGGAATTGTTAGTTTGTCCAAAAGATCCCTGTGTCTCCAGCAGTGCACATTCAGTGTTGCTTTATTATCTTCAGTCACGCATGGAGCCCCAGGCTTTATTTGCCCTTTATTTATCTTGTACTGACCACAAAATATTAATTTCTTTGTGAGGTTTTTCATAATGCTTGTAATGCTGTATTTTAGATCTATTTTAGACTTTTATCTTCATAACCTTCTTAGTAACATTAGGTAGTATATTCAGCATTGCACACATGGGAACCAAGGTACAGAGATTAAAGCAAAGAGGATAAATGACACCAACTCACTTAGTGCTGGTGCAACGTAGGGCATAATTTTACTACACTATCACCTTGTTTAATTAACAAAAAAAAAAATTAAAAAAAAAAAAAGTCTGTTCTGGACATTGAATGAACCAGATACTCTTCTGGAAACAGTAGCATATAATTAGGTCATGTAAATCAAAACTTAATCATAATGCTTGAGTATAGGGGATGAGATTCATCTTAGTGTGCAACCTTAGCCAGCTAAAATTTACATGACTGGTTTGGTGTGGTTGTCTGGAATCATGTCTGTTCAATGAAGAGAGATGCATCTTTTTAGGATAAAATTGTTTTCTGGAGGTGCCTTTCTCTCTCCATCAATTATAGAGGACTCCATATCTCAGCCTATATGGTTTCATATGATTAAAGTTAAAGAAATTAAATTCTAGGAGACCAAAGGAATATTACACACTTGACTTACTTCTGGCATTTGCTGCTTCTGCAAGATCTTGACTTTGAAGCCAAATTGCTCTCTTAAATAGGGTTTTGGAGGTGCAACTATATTAATCCTTACATAGATGATCTGTAGGGTTGAGGAACCCTAGAGTAACAGCACAGCTGTCTTCTCAAGTTTGTGAACTAACTAATTGCAGTACAACATTGTTATAGTCTACGTGGTATTAACAGAAGAGGGAGATAGAGACCCACACTTTGCCAGTGGGTTAGATGTTTTAGACATTGTGGAACAGCAGGCTTTGGGAGCAAGGACTTCATCCCCATTTCTTGAGGAAGGTGTTCTGCAGCAGTTAGATCTTGCTGTGTCTGACCCCATATCCTCTCCTGCTCCTGTCCCTGTCCCCCCAGCGATCGCTTTCCCTGCTAATATATCCCTAGCTCTTGCTTGATAACTGCTTGTGCCCTGTCCTGCCCATTCCTGTTGTGAGAGGACTGTCTTGCATTTCGAACAAGTAATTTGAATTACGGAATACAGGGAAAATACACGTCAAGAAAATGGCAAGGCTGATCTTAATAACTGAGCTCTCTCTACTGGCGGTTCAGGCACAGAAGTCACATGAACTTGGTTGCATGAAGTTCTCTGCCATGCTTTGCCAGTCTTTGTCAACTATCACTGTTAAATATACAAAATTATTGCAGTCATTAAGTGTGATCATTTTGTCATTAGAAAAAAAATCCCTGAAATTTCAAGATGTAATAAATAATAGTAACTTCAGTACAGTCCCTTCTGCTTGTTTCTCTGAAGCTCATAGATAGGCACTCCAGCTCTGCCTATCTTGAGGACATTGAAATGTATAGGGTAAAATTCGTCCAAACCCATAGTGAGCCCCACCTCCAAAATAACTAAACCAGTATCAAAATACCAAGAAGTGGTGCTGGAGTAGGTGAAAGATGTAATAAATAATAGTAACTTCAGTACAGTCCCTTCTGCTTGTTTCTCTGAAGCTCATAGATAGGCACTCCAGCTCTGCCTATCTTGAGGACATTGAAATGTATAGGGTAAAATTCGTCCAAACCCATAGTGAGCCCCACCTCCAAAATAACTAAACCAGTATCAAAATACCAAGAAGTGGTGCTGGAGTAGGTGAATCCAACTTGGTATGACACTGCTAATCGGAGCAGTTTTCCAGCAAGGAATGGGCAGCTGATCTTAGTTAAGATTTATAAATTTACACCATTAGAAGCCATTCAAAGAGCTTCCCTTATTTTTTGATGATATTTCCCTTTGTATACCAGCTTAGCTTTTCTTCCCTGATTTAAAAAAAAAAAAGGGCAAAAAACATTTGGCATCTCAGCCATCTCATCACAATTCCTGTGTCTAGAAGTTAGGTATCTATTGCACACCAGTGATACAAACTCTGCTTAGAGCTGGGGAGGCGAGACAGCCGGCTGTGGAGAGCATTTCATCCTGTCTGATCTTCTCCACTGACTCAGCAGAGAGCTTAAAACCAGCTTAAACAGATGCCTGCCTGTTAGGTGGGACATGTCTGCTGCGCTATTTAACAGAAAAAAATAGTGTTTGATAGCAGGAGATTTCAACGTCTTACTCAAATAACTGCAGGGTTAGAGCGGCATCTGTGTCTGTGGCGGTATTTTCAAAACCCCACTTTGCCCAAGATGCTGAAGTGGAAATCTGAGCTTCTCGGTACCGTTTTGGTTCTTCTCACCTTCTCACAGTTTTCTACTGTTTGCTGGCTGGCTTGTCAGGCAGTGAGTTCCAACAGGCTGAGCTGAAATATGAGCTGGAAGTGTTAGTGTTCAGGGAACCCTGAAGAAGGAATGCTGCCCGCCTTGTTCTCACAAGTGGGAGAGATCTGCATACCTCCCTGCTGTAATTTCAGGAGAGGAGGGTGCCCCACCTATTCCAAGGCTTGGCTGAAGCTGAGCACAACGTGGGATTGCTTGATCCTTCCTTCAGCGCTTTACACAGGACTCGTAGTATCTCTTCAGGTTATGAATACGCGCTTTTAAAATGTGTGTATAGCACATTTGCTTAAATGAATCCCAGGCCCTTATTTGCTTGATGAAGATCCTGTATAGAATAGCCTTATCAAACTGAAGTGATTCTTAAAGTCCTCAACTCTTAAATGGCCTTTAAAACTATTACCTCTTCTTTATTTGTGGAGAGGTGGTTCTTGTCTTTATGTCCTGGTTAATTTGTTGATGAACTACTATCAGATAATGATTTTACAGATTATATGACCCATTTCATTGTCAAGTATGTTTCACCATTCTTAATCACTTAATACTGAGGATCCTTGCTAAGGATACATGAACAGATTACTTGCCACCCAAAAGTACTATTAAGTAGTAAAGTATTTGCAAATAAGCATCTTCACTGTTTAAGGAACACGCAAGTTTCTCCCCTTTAACTGAAAGCATGAAGTTAGACGTAACCTACACCACTTTCAAATTACCTGTTTCCTCTGAAGTTAAGTAAGTGAAACCTGAATTCTGAAATTGTTCAAACGGGGATTTTTCTAGAACTCTTTTACTACTTAAACTGAATTTTTTTCTGAAGGAGAAGAAGCAGGGGTGAAACAAAACCTACTTGGCCTATGTCCACAATAATCAATGCTCAGTGTTATTTCTTGGTCTCAATAGAGTAAATTTAAATTTCTTATTGTACCATTATCTTTCAAAGCTTTTTATTTTTCCCCCTCAGAATCTTATCGCTAAACCAGAGTGGTGTCTTGTTGCTTGAGATGACAAGGTTATGGTTGTGTACTTTTGATTCTGCTTTGCGCCCTCTTTTAAAAAGGTCTTCGTACTTTACATTTACTGTCTACACTTGAAGACTATCAAATAGTCTCTCCCTAGCACAAATCATAATGGCTGATGCCTGCACTCAAGCACCTTACACAATTGTGTGTAAAAAATTAAAACAAATCAGAAGTTACAAAGCTGCATGTTGGAATTTGTGCAAACTCTCAAGGGTAATAAAAATGTTATGTCTGTTGGTACTTGTCACTCCAACAAAAAAACAAGTAAAAGTGCACAAAAACAGTAAGTCACAGTCTTCCAGTACTCTTGAGTCAGAACAGTAAGTGTTAATAATTTTATTGATGACAGCTCTGGCATCCATCCTGAGGTTTGGACACTACGATACCTTTCCTGCCCTCTGCTCCTGCCTCTATCCATCACTTCTGATCCCTTCCCAAGTGTTTCGTCTTCTCCCCCACCAGCGTGCACTGTGGAAGCCTTCCTGGGTCCCTGCAGCCCCAGGGAGGAACGGGCTCAGCCACTCTCCTGGTGGGGATGGCCCTGCCAGAGGGCAGCCAGCACGCTGGAAGAGCTAAAACTATGGCTACAGAAGGAAAAAGGAAACAAATTTCATGCATCTTCTCCAGAATTTTAGGTAGTGTTAAATATTCTCAGCAAAAGAGGCATAAGGCTTATTGTAACATGGGGGATGGGGGAACCTTTTATTTTCCTCTTGTTTTGATTCAGCTGAGTAATTTTAGGTGAACCTTTCTGGATGTAGTCAATGTTCAACTACCCTGTGACAGACACTGTATGTGTAAGTTCTCAATTCTGAATCATGATTAGCACTGTACTACATGATGCCTTTTTTCCCCTTTTCCTTTTTTTTCCTGTGCTTTGAATTTCATGAACGCCAGCCTAGATAGCTATTCTCTCTGGAAGCTTCTCTTTATTGTCAGGAAAGGTTGTTTATGGCTGTTGGGTTTGGGTTGAGAGAGGAATGTGGTGAATCCAGTGGTTGCACTTACTTCTCTGTGTATCATTACATACTTGGTAAACCTTGCCAAGAAGCAGGCAGGAGAATGGCAAGTAGAGAGGTTAGGACTTTTTTTTCCCTAGGCATGTGACAATATTCTCGATGTCTTTGTGTCTGAGTTCAGGGTTGAGTGTTCATAGTTTTAGAGTACAAGATTGCAACATGTACTCGTACTGTATTGCACAAGTGGGTTTGATTGTTCTCTGGTCAGCACTAATTATCTAGTTGAGTTTATTGCTGAAAGGAAGAGTCCTGGTTTTGCTGATATTTTTTTTTTTAATCTGCTTTTGCAATCAGTACATAAATGTTTTACAAGGGCGGAGTGCTATTTTGATAGTTTATCTTGATAAAGACCGAGTTGTTTCCATTTGGGGGTATTCCTGGTTATTAAATACAGGCAAGAAAATAGAGAATTTTAGTGAATTTCACAAAACAAGTTAACGTCCTTTATAACAATTAATAGCCTGTGCCTTTTTTTAATGGGTACTGATGTTCTGTATTTCCCTGTTCCTTTCAACTGGATTTTTGCACCCCATGCTAAATACTTCAAAGATTAGTGTACTTAACTGCAAATTAGTGAAAATTGGTGTAGTCAACAGAAGAACCTGTACATCTAGAACAATTCATGTGAGTAAAGATTTACATGATCAGTTCATATGGTTTGTAGTGTCTCCTCAAAAGACACTTTCTATCATCTGTCACCTTCAGAGTTAGGAGAGATGTTTGAGGCAGCTAAAGAGTGTAAATATACCAAGCTGGGACTTGCATGGGCATCAGTCTCCGTTTAATTTATTAGAAAACTGCACTCTTTTAATTAAATATTCAAAGGAAAAATATATCCAGTGACCCCACCAAATCTTCTACCTATTAAAATACATGAAAATTCAAGCTTTTCAACTGTTCTGTTCTAGTTATCTTAATTGTTTGCTTTTGTTTGTTTTACAGAAAACCTGTTTATTATATGACTTAGATGTTGTGGCTTTAAATGAAAGTAAGAAGAGAACCTGCTGTGCATTCTGAAATACTGTTTCTCATTCCATTTTCTCTTGAGAAAATATTAACTATTGCAAAGGAACATACAAGATTTTAAAAGTGAGACTGTAATCCCACAACAGAGTATTTAGGCATCCTTTGTATTACACAAACTTTGTTGCCAAATGTTTTGATATGTTTATATTATATTTTCATATTTTTAATGTGAAGTTAAAACAATTATCTGACTTTGAAATTATTATTAGATGCATCACAGGATGACTGCTTTTGCATACAAATGTTTGCAGAAATGAAATCTGAGTGTACTAATTTTCTCTTATTAAAAAAAAATTACCTTGACTTTTTTTTTCTGTGTTATTTATACCAGATTTGTAATGTAATGAACATTGACATCATCACACAGGCAACCTTCCGATATATGAAATCACTTATGCTATCCACCAGATAACGTCTCTTTAAGTGGCTGATACTTACTGCAGTCCGCTAAGATAATTTTCTGGGAATTTTTGGCTTTGTTTCTTTTATATCCATTTCAGAAACATGTGTGTTACTTGAATACCCTTGAACAGGGAGGCTGCAAAGGTGAGGGCTGAGAGAAAAGAACAAGCCGTATACAAGATCAGTATGTTGCTGAAGCTGAACCTTCCTTAGAAGGCAGAAAACATGGAACAACAGAATGCATCCAGTAATAATTATCTTGCTAATATAAACTTTTATCATTCTATAAAATAATTCATGCGGGTGTTAGCAGCGTACCTGCATTTTCCTTGTCATAAATGATCACAGTATTAAAAGGGTATGCAGTGCTTGTTAGATATTGTGAGGTATTTATGTTATTTTCTTAAAGTAAAATACATCGGGTATCTGCTTCTGCTCATTTAGATCTGTTTTATACTGGCATGTAACAGCTTTAATTTCAGTGGAGCATATCAGATTTTATTTAAATTTAAATGAGGGCAGAATCAGGATGCCAGTTTCTTTCTCTTTAATCCAAAGCAAAGAGAACACAAATCAAACCTGCAGGACATGCACAAAACAAACACAAGTTGGGAAATCTGAAGAATTGTGGTGATTATATTGTCTTTCTATTAATTTTTTTTTTGCCTGGGAGAGGTGGTTCTTGCTGATTATTAAATTTAATTGTTTTATCACCACTTGTGAATGAATAATACTACTGTGCAAAATTGTGTTGTGAGCTATCCCAGCACATCCAGAATAACTAACTCCACTGGCTTATTGTTCTGGAATGTCACTACCCTCCTGAAATACGCCCACTCCTTTTTTGAGGGCTGTTTGCAGATTGTCATAATATCAAATTATTACTAAATTTGGTATTGAGACAGCGAGCTCGACGGGAAAATGCTTTCTGAAGCACGTGGGCTCTAATGTGCCTGAGCATACTGCCAGGTTACTGTGCCACTAGGCCATTTAGTATGCTTGCAGAAGGGATGCGAAAGGATGGGAAGGACTACATATTTACAGCCGCTCCTGACTACTCATCGTGGCCAGTCACTTAAGCTAGCGTTTAGAGCAAAATCTGAAAACAAGGAACAAAGGATAATCCCTGCCTTAGTTACAACCATAGCAGAGGAAGAAGATAGTGCTGGAAGGGATATTGAGAGGCTGTCTAGGTCCTCGTCTTACCTCAGCCTCAGGTCAGCTGTCCCTGCTGTGCTGCAGGAAGATGTTTGGAGAGCTGCAGTGATGGAGATTTCACCGTCCCTCTGAGTGGCGTACAGGCCTTACTTAACTGGCTTGGCAAGCAGGAAGTTTCCTAATACCTAACCTAAACTGGTACACATGGAAAGCAGGTTCTCTCTTTCCTCTTGACGTAGGTGAACACCTCTGCCTGCCCTCTCTCTTCTCTTTAGGCCAGAGAACTACTGTTCCTTCTCCCTTCCCTTCTAGTTTGGGTTCTCAGAATCCTTTGCCATTTTTGTCTCTCTCCTCTCGATATCTTTGAGTTGGTTCTCAACTATCCTGGAGCATAAACCTGAAAACTGAGCATGCTAGTTTAAATAATAATGGCTGGAAATATTAAAATTATTTTTTTGTTACTGTATTTATGATACTCCTATTTATGCATTCCAGCATCAGTATAATGCAAGATAGCCTAGCACTGCTTGTGATCCGTAATCTCTTTTCTGAAGAACTGCTTTTTTATCCTGGTACGTACTTGTGCAGTTGATTATTCCTTTGTATGTGTAGAACCTTCTGTTTCTCTTTATTTGGTGGCTTTTCAGTTTCTCCAATCTGCCAAGATCCTTCTGAATCGTAATGCCGTGCTCCAGCGTAGTTGGAGCCTCTTCCTGTAGATACGGTCTCCAAATGTGAATAAGTGTATTCTGTTCAGTCATCAAAGATGTTGATGAAAGTACTGAATAGTTCTGGATCCAAGATAGACCTCAGTGAAATCCCATTCAATGTATCCTTTCAGCTTGGGAGTACTAATTATTTCCAAATAATTTTGCACTCATTTTATAGAATCATAGAATCATTAAGGTTGGAAAAGACCTCTAAGATCATCGAGTCCAACCGTCGAC